CCGTTGACTGAATGGTTCTGGGTCCCCAGGAAGTTTGTACAAGGCGATGCTGACGTTTGCGAGGAAGGAGGAATCACCACGGAGACCGGGTCCGGGAAAACAGGGAGAGGAAGATCCATGCTCCACGTCGCTGGGGTGGCCGAGTAGCCCACGTCCCGTGCCAGTGCTGCTCGTGCAGGGATGCTCTTGCCACAGGTGGAGGAGGCCCACTGGGAGGGAGGACTGCGGAGGCAGCGGCAAGATGCAAGAGGGGTGTAGCGCTGGGCTTTGGCGGGCGTTTCTTGCAAACCCCACGATCTGGCCAGGAGCAAGAGCTGCTTTGGGCAGGCAGAAAGGGCAGGGCCACCGAGCAGGGTACCCAGATGCATGGCCCAGCGGCCGAATTCTGCGTGAGGAGAAAGGCTTTGCCCTTTATTGGAGCTGGTGGTGAAGCTGGGTGCGCCAAAAGCACGGTTTTCCATGCGTGGATGTTTATGTCCTTCCGGCAGAGGGGCACTGAGCGAGCGGTGCCGAGCGCACGGCCCATTCTCCTGTTCCCTTCAGCTCCGGTCCTTTACGGTTCTGCGATGGGAATAGCAGTGGGGCAGGACAGAATAACCAGAGCCAAGCTTGCTCATGTTAGACTCGCAAGAGGATTCGTGGGTCCATGATTGCAGCTAAGCACTGAAAATTGGGACTTAAATGGATCCTGCCTGTATTGCAACGTTCATGTCACTTGACAGAACGAGAGAGCCCAGTCCCTGTTCATGGCCGGCCGTTCTAGTCCCCCCGATTCTTTCCAGTGTGCTTGTCAAAAGCCAAGGGGAGGCAGAGGGAATTGTTTGCAAAGTCGAAAGATCGTCGTCTTGCTATTACCAAGAAAGAGGGGGAAAGCCCTCTGCTACTGTGATCCTCTTAATCCCTGCTAACAGTATCATGGCCCCAAGCGGTTCAGGGCAGGGAAAGGGGGACAGCTTCTATGGTGCATGCACTGGGACTCGGCAGGCAAGCTGATGCATGTGAGGAGGAGGAGGAGGGACACTGGGAACTTGCAGGCCTGTCTTAAAGCACCGCACCAAACTGGCCTAACCATTCCTCCAAATTCTAGGAGCAGTGCGGACAAACGTACCAGAAGCATCTCAACTCCAGGTGACTCTGTCCAGGGTTAGGCAGAAGGGCAGTCATGGGACCCCCTGGGGATATGAGGTGACAAACGCAGCTGCGAGGTTGACCCGGGCGCTGGGAACGCCAGGGCACGTCCAGATGCACAGGAGGCGATTCAAACGGCTTCCCCACTTTGGTGGGCTCCGTGCTCGCGCCAAGCCCCGCGGCCAGTTCCAGGGCTTGGCAGCAGCCCTGATGCAGAGGGCCGACTGGCCAGCGGTTACGAGCACCACATTTCGTACTTTCACCTCCCCCAGCGCATTAAAAGCACACGCTGTTCTTCAGCTGTTTCTTCAGCACCTCATTCTGTTCAGATCGGCAGCCGGACTCGCAGCCTCTGCGAAAGGCGAAGGGCAAAAGCGGATTGCCTGTCGGAGGTGCAGAGGTGGCGGGGGGAGAGGGGCTCGGTATTTGATCCGGCATCTTGACAGTTCATAGGGAAATGACGGTGGGGAGACGGAGGTCAGCCTCCTGCCGCAAAAAACCTGTTCCCACTTGCAGGTGATGTGGACGCAGCCTTGTCTGGATCGGTAATTCCATTTGCGGGAAGGTGACGGCCTGAGCGATTGTGGATTTTCAAAAAGCGGCACATGTGGGGCATGGCTGACATCCCAGGTCCTTTGGGGCAGGCTGGCCGTGCCATTCTCGGCCGCGAGAAGAGGCGATCTCCTTCCACCCCGCTCCGTTTGTGCAAGCCACCTCTGGGAGTGTCTTCAGGTCACGAGGGAAGGCCGGGCTCTGCTCCTAGTTCCATCCTCGACTGGAAACGGACAGGGGTGTTATACTGCTTCTTTGGACCGGCCATTCACAGGACTAGCAAGGGAGGGGTCCTTCCTAGGATGTTCTCACTTGGCATTAGGGTCCTGCCTCTTCCTTTCCACACGGATCAAGTTGTACAGCTCTGACAATAAACCCTGAGGAATCTCGCTACTGATTTAGCATGCAGGCTGTCCCTCGAGGTCTTGCAGAAGTTCCGTCCAAACAGAAATCTCTGCCCAGGGAAAGTGTGGAGAAGAGCTCCGCAAAACTGCCGTGTGCCTGGAGCAAGGGAAGGCTCTGCTGCAGCCTTTTCACAGCTCTGCTGCCTGAAGGCGGAACTACAATTTAGTGGCATGAAGGCAATTATTATACATTTTCTAAAGTCAAGAAGAGTTACGGAGAAGCCAAAGCAGCCTGGAGACCAGAGGGGTGGAAAGGTAACTCTTCTCACCAAAGGTTACCGCTCCGAGGCTGCGAAAGGACACTCCCTTTAGTATCAGTTTCAGGGAAGGCATCTCTGCGAAGACCAGGGCAGAGCAGGGGCGAAGGTGGAGTCAGGCTCCCCCCTCCCCCCTCTAGCAATTTTCATAACGCAAAGTGCTCATGTCAATGCCATTCACACAATTAATATCTTGCGTGGCCCCAAGCACCCCTGGAGGACCTGCTGAAGTCTCACAGCTGATGGCTCGGGCCTTCATTGCCATCAATTTTTAAATCCCGATTTAAATAATTCATGGGTAGCCTGATCCCTGAGGCTCCAAAAATAGGTCAGCTCCGATCGCTAGCCTTCCTTCCCCCCCGCCCACTTTTCTAAGAAGCCCTCGAAGTTACACCTTCCAAGCACAGATGCCACTGAGGAGTCTCTAATGGTGAGGAACCAGAATCCTTGTGAGGATGAAGCGACATTTTGCCAACAGCATCACATGTTCGGTGCGAGGCCTTTTTCTTGCCCGCCACACATCAAGCCACAGATCAAAATGGTGGTGCATGTTAAGAGAAGAACAGAAATGTACATTTCCCAGCAGGAGTGCTAGACCAACAGGTGAGGTAGTTCGAACGCTAACCAGAAGGCTTCCTTCTCACTCTCGCCAGTAGCTGCCCTGGAAAGATCAAGTCTTACTATCAAAATGAGGTGTGGGCAACAATCTGATCAAGGACTGTAAATTTGCATATATGAATTACTCATTGCATATCCTTCACCGGTGTGAAGGAGTAGAAAGTCGCAGCTGGTGCGCGTGTCGCACTTACAACCGATCCCAGGGGACATCTACGTGGAAACGGGGCCCCTGCCATCTCCCGGGAATTATTCCCTGACCAGCGTATTTAGGACTGTAACCTTACATCAGAGATCTCTCTGTCTGGGGAGAGGGAAGCCCCCCTGGGGCGAGCCTCAAATCGCCCTCGAATGAAAGGGAGTGGAGAGCTGCCCGCCTCACTCCGGGGCTGGGCTGCCGCAGGAGGGTCCCCGAAGCCCTTGGGAGCGCTCCTCTTACAACAGCCCCCGCCACTCTTGCATCCCCCAGTGGAAAAAAGAGCTTTCGGAAGCCACTTGCCCTGCAGAGCTGGAGGCTGCTCTGCGGGAAAACGCGAGGCCGCCCCTCCTTGGCTGCACGGAATCAGTGGCGCTGTTTTTAGACTCTCCGCTCCCGTGGTTTCCAGCTCGAGTCTTTAGCACAGAACAGCTAAACCTAAGATTTGGGAAAACAATTATCTCTGCAATTGTAAGAACTATAATGTCACGTACCCCAAAGCAGGACGTTTTGGCTCAGACCCAGCTTTATCATCTGCCGCTGAATTAAGCGGGTGGCCTGACCTGCTGCAGTTCCCGCAGTCCTAAAATGCTAAGGCCATCTAAATGGGCAAACCGAAGCACTACAAAGAAGTCCCTTAGAACCCAGTCAAAGGAACCTGGTGGAGGAATCACTGTTTGTTCTCCTCGTCCCCCCCCCCCCCCGCAGATCTTTGAGCTCGGGATGTGAAGGAAGGGATAATTCTAACTGTTCCTCCTTAATTACTTACACGCAAGTCTTGGCAAGTGCTCTTCGCTCCATGCGCCAACAGATCAACAGATGCATGGATGCATCGAACTTGCCCTTCTCCTCTCAGGACCACCCCAGCATCCCCCGTGAGATCTGAATAGATGCCATTAACTCTTCCCCTCTGGGGAACGCCCTAGATACAGCGGGAGCTGTTCAAGGCACTGAGGCTGAACGGGGTCAGGAATGTGGGCATTTTCATAATATTCAAAAGACCGCAGAAGGTAGCGGAACGGACAAATCTATTTCTCTCCTAGTCATGGATTCAGCTGTGGAAACCGATGCCCCACTCCACTTTCCTTCTTACCCTGTGTAAAAACTGTAAACAGGCTGGAAACTGAAACACCCTCTACAGAAGCACAAACAGTACGCTAAGCTACGGCGCTGTCGCTCATTCCCTGCCTCCCTCCCTCCCCAGCCCCTGCAACCGAGGCGAGCCACTTCGGTCAAGAGCACGCACCCTCACGCAGGGGCTGTGCTCAGTCTCCTTCCGCTAAACTCCAGTGTAACTGCCTGGAACACCCGAGTTCCCTGCAGGTGGCCCTTGTGTCACTTCCCATGTGCAGCTCACACCTGTGCTGCACAAAAACGAACTAGCTTATTATCCTATCAGAGAAACAACCAGAAGACTTGCAGGGAGGATCCCCCCACCGCCGTGCCAAAACGAAGCAGCAGCAGCTGTCTTTTGCCTGGGGGGGGGGCTCTTCACAGGACCTTCATGGTACGTCTTTTATAAAAGCAAGGGGAGATTTAAAACAAACAAACACAACCCTCCAAGAGTCAGTCATCAAGCAAAATGGTGATCAATAAATAACGTCGTAATGAGGAGTCCAAAATGCAAGCGCCGTCAAAGTCAGCTCGTGGGCTGGATCCAGCGGCGTTGTGGGTCCAAGGCAACCCTTTGGCGAAACTGCTGGCGAGGGGAGACGGCTGCGCTCCAGCCAGATGCCATTCTGCAGAGTCAGTACCTGATCGGAGGGAGGACGCGACGCGAGCTTCGTTCCTCTGAAACAAAGCGAGCGTTGCTGAGGGAAGGTCCGGGGTGGAGAAGGAAGGTGCCGGTCACGCGCTGGCCCCGTCCTCTTCGATAACCTGGTTCATGCTCGTGCCGTGCGTGATGTGGGTCGCCGGGTTGCCGCTGAGGTCCCTGGTGCTGCTGTGGCGCGACTGGTCGTTGAGCCGGTGGGAGCTGCTGTGCCTGGAGTGGTCGGTCAGCCGGGACATGCTGCCATGAGGGAGCCGGTCCTCCATCCCACGGTAGCTGCAGGGAGTATACCTAATTCAGAAAGACTCATCCGTTTCAGGAACACGGGCCAGGAGGCAGCGACACTTTCCAGCACGCGTCCCCTCCCACAGGCTGTGTACCATGAGGTGAGCTGCAACCGGGGGCAGAGCCTCTCGGGTCCCCGCCACCCCACCCCCAGCCAGGCTGCCTGCTCCCCAGAGCAATCCCTGCTTAGGGCTCTAGAGTGGGCCATCTCAGCATCACGTGCTTTCTGGAGGCTCCTTTGGCCGGAAGTTACTTTGGCTTGTTCCACCGCCTCTTGCATGCACCTGAATGGCTGGTTCCAGAGACGGTCATATTTAGCCACAGCCCCACCGAAACCAATAGGGCTCATGTTGCGGCGAACTCAAGCCTCATTAATTTAGATCCTCAGTTACTCTTAAGCTGAGCCGCTGCCCAGATGGACAGTGACGCATGTCAGAAACACAAGTGGCACATTCCAGGGCGGCATCTATACCAGTGACCTGATTATCTCAGCTTTGTGCTGAAGCGGAGGAATGTGAGGGCCGGCTCGTTACCATGACGAGGCGCCTCCTGCCAAACCTGGGCTGGACGCAGCCACCGGTTGGGAACAGAACGCAGCTGAAGCCCCGGGAAGCAACGGAGGGGTAGGGGCTCCCGCAGGCGCCTGAGGATGAGAGCAGAAGGCAGCCTGCGGGGGCAGCACAGCTGGTCACCTGGGCATGGCAAGCGAGAGGCCGCAGGCCCGCCGGGCAGAGGGAATGACTCCAAGGCCATCAGCGGCGGGGAAGGGTGGGGCTGCGAGGGGCCACGGAAACCCACGTGTGTCGTGCAGACCCGTCTGACCCACTGCCAGGAGCTGCTGTCCCCCTGGAGAACAGAGGAGAGATGTGGCCCACGTGTCCCAGAGCTCACACAGCCCACGGGCACGTGCCCCTTTCTTCTCAACTACGGGGGAACAAACAGCACGGCCAAGTAGAGCTTTCGAGAAACCACGTCAGGCTTTGCAGAAAAATACTCCGCGTAAAGGCCTGACGATAGGGGTGGCGCTGATGCGAGAGATTAGTTTCTGGGACCGTGGGCTGCACCTCCTGGACTCCTGGCAAGAGATGCATCTCACAAGGACTGAGAATCGTGCGTTTGGCCAGCATGAAGATGTTCATCAGGAGGGCCTTAAATGGACTCCTGCAGGGGAGGGAGAAGCACGCCTGGGCGAACAACAGACAAAGGCTTATGCACCACAAAGGAGAGAGTAGCTGTGATAGTTTCCAATCACAATCTTCCAAAAATTGTACAAAGTTAGCTAGACCCTAGAAGACAGAATGAAGATCCAGGGTTCTCGATAACCCTGAATGCTGGGATGAAAGAAACAGAATGAGATTCAGTAGGGACAAGAGCCAAGTCCTCCACCTCGGAAAAAGAAACCAAAGGCATCAGTACAAGATGGGGAATACGTGGCTCAACGGAACTGAAAGAGACCTTGGATAAGATGCAGAAAAATTAGAAAGCGTCCTGCAGAGAGCAACAAAAATGATCCAGGGTTTGGAAACACTGCCCTGTGAGGAGAGAGAGAGAGAACTGGGCATGCTTAGCCTAGGGAAGGGAAGGGGAAGGGGAGCACCTCAAAGGCTGCCCCAAAGAGGAAGGCCAAGATCTCTTCTTGCTGATGCCGGAGTGCAGGACACAAAGTAATCAAGTCAAGCTGCGACAACCCAGATCCAGGCCGGGCATCAGGAAAAGCTTCCTCACGGTCAGAGCAACATGGCAGTGGGACCAGCTGCCCGGAGAGGTGGGGGGCTCTCCCACACCGGAGACATTCAAGGCGAACTGGGAGGCCACCTGAGCGGGATGGTGTGATTTGGTGTCCCGCAACAGCCAGGGCTGGACTAGATGGCCTTCGTGGCTCCTTCCAACTCTCCTATTCCTTGAGTCTGTGATTCTGTAATTCTAGGCCACGAAGCACATACATGAGCCTTATGGGACGTGAAAGGGAGGCCAGGTGGCAAAGGCAGCAGAGGGCTGCAGGGCTGGCGTCAGGGAGGCTGAAGCTGGGAATGGGATCCGGCTGAGGAGGGATGTTAAAACCGAAAGCCCTTCCTCAGATTTGTCTGCCTGTGCAACAAAAGGCATAGAAATGGTGGTTCAGTGCGGATGGCAAGAAGGGAGCAGCTGACCAAGGGCAGAAGTGCCCCAGTTCCACTTTGGTTTGGTCCTCTTCCAAAAGGAGTCCGTGACCTCCCTGCAAAGGGGAAATGCAAGCTGAAGGGCCAGGCCGCAGCTTGGAAACGGTGGCCAAAGAACTACTCAGCACTTTGAACCTCACTGCTAGTTTCTTGCAGGAATTGTGCAGGACAGGCACGGCGGCACGGGACCAGGGCAGGGACGGTGTTGTCCCTGCCTTGAGAGGGCCAAAACGAGAAACCTGGGAACTACAGGCCAGGTGGAGTGGCATCAATTCCTAGGAAAATGCTGGAGCAGATCATAAAGCAGCCAGTCTGCAAACACTGTGAGAACAATTCAGTGATTACTGGACGCCAACAGGGATTCCTCAAGAACAAATCCTGCCAGACTGATCTGATTTCGTTTTCTGACCGGGTAACCTCCCTGAGGTAATGTGGGAATGCTGTGGACATAATGTATCCTGCCTTCAGGAAAGCTTCTGACAAAGTGCTCCACAATCTTCTCATTGGCAAGCTACCCAAAGTGGGATAGATGGAACAATGATCAGGTGGATCCACAGCTGGCTACAGATTCGGCCCCAGAGAGAGCTCATTAATGGCACCTTAAGGAGTGGGCTACCCCAGGATTCTGATCTTGGCCCAGTGCTCGCCAACACTTTCACTAATGACATGGATGAGGAACTGCGGCGGGGGGTGGGGGGGCTTTTTGAATATGCACATGACACGTAATTGGATGGGGTAGCTAATCCTTTACTCTGGAAGGCAGAAAGTTCAAAGTGATCTTGATAGATTGGAGGGTTGGGCTGAAATCAACAGAATGAGATTTAATAAGGACAAATGCCAAGTTGTGCACCTGGGGAAAAGAAACTAAATGCGGTTACAAGATGGGGATACCTGACTCAGCAGTATGATAAGTGAGAAGGGTCCTGAAGCTATCACAGCTTGCAAGCTGAATATCAGGTAACAAACTGATGTGGCTGCAAAAACAGGCAGTGCTCTTTCGGGCGGCATTAGCAGAAGTACAGCTTGCAAATCACGGGAAGCACTAGTCCTCCTCTCCCCAGCACTGGCTGGACTCCCCCTGGAGTCGTGTGTCCACTTCTGGACACCACAGTTTGGGAAAGACGCGGACAAGCTGGAACGGGTTCAGAGAAGAGCAACATGGACGACCCAGGGGCCGAAAACAAGGCCCTCTCAGGAGAGATGGGAAGAACGGTCGCCTAGAGGCGGCTGCAGGGAGATACGGTCGCACACTTCAGGGTGCCATGCAGGGGGAGGCTGGGGTCTCTTCTCGATCATGCAGGACGCAGACTAACAGGCCCCCGTTACAGGAAGCCAGCTTCCAGCTGAACGTCAGGAAGAACATCCTGGCTGTTAGAGAGACGGCAATGGAACCAACTACCCGCTAGGAGGTCGTGGGCACTTCTGCACAGGGGGCATGCAGATGCTGGGCAACCATCCGCTGGCCACGCTCCACCTCCGACGCCTGCACTGAGCAGGGGCTGGACCCAGCCTCCGAGCGGGGCCCTTCCAACTCCACTGTTCTGCGAGGAGCTGCGGCCCCTGCAGGCCCCACCAGATCACCGTGCGGTGCCGCACCAACCCGGAGAAGCGAGGGGAGAAGAGGGGCCCTCGCTACTGCAGGGCTGGGGACGCGGTCTCAGCCGCCTTCCCTGAGCCCCACGGGCAACGGCCCCACACACACGAGGCATGCCGAGGCCACGGCACGGCCAGCGTTCGGTCTCCTCACCTGCCGTCCCGCGACCTGTGCAGGCTGCCGTGGTAGCTGCTGACTTTGCTGTGGACGCTGCCGGCTTTGCTCCGCTGGTCGTCCATCATGGCCAGCTGGGTCGAGGAGGCGTGGGTGGACGTCCCCTGGGTGGAGGTGCCTCTGGATTTGCGGGTGATGGGGGTGTTGGGGTCCCTCAGCAGCGACTGGGCAAAGTCGGGCTCGTGCAGCACCTGCCGGCTCTCATTCACCATCCTGCAGCGCAAAGCAAGCTCTGTCCATTCAGTAGCAGCAGCAGCAGCACGAATGGCAAAAGCACGAAGTGGTGGGGGGGGAGGGGGGGGACAACCGGGCCCAATCAAAGCAACCAGCACAAGCCCCGCTTCCATGTGCTGCTAAGAGCCACTGAACGACTGCGCATCAAAGGCAGGCTCGAGCATGAAATGCCTCCGCACAGAGGCCACCAGGAGGAAAGCGGAGTTTGTGCCAGGTGCACCTCAGTGGGGAGACCATTCCATAATCAGGCGGTTATGACCAAGGAGGCCGCCTTCTGTCATGCCACCAGTCAAATCTCCTTCAAGGTGGCCCTCAGAAGACCTCAGATGTAGGGTCCTGGCAGATTCAGGCCAGGAGAGGCGCTCCAGTAGGTACTGCAGTCCAAAACCCCAAAGCTTATGGGTTAAAACCAGCACCCTGAATTTGTATACAGCGTACCTCAAGCATCGAGGGGAACAGACTGGGGCACAGTCTAGCTCTTGCATTTGGAAACAAGAAACTGCCCAGACTGAAGGAGGGCAAAAGTGTCACTATGGCACTTACAGCCCCACCGAGACACCATGTGCTGACCCCGAGAATTGCCGCTACAGCTCCCATGTGGCCACAGGCTAGCATGTCCCTATCCATGTGCCCTGGCTGCCCTGGACCACTGGGTTACCTGCGTTCTCTCCGCCCCTTCATATAACTATCGTCACAACACAGCGACAGCACAAGGCCGTTAGAAGTGTGCAGCCCGCCAGGCAAGACTGGGCCCCACTGGGGGAAGTGGCCTGTGGGGCTGTGTTACTTTAGTTAACTGTATTGATGGGGAATTGGGCTGTATGTGTGTGTGTGTGGGGGGGGGGTTACAGCTGTACCCTATTATTGTTGACATTGTGTTTATTTATTTATATGCTGTCCTTTCGCAGAGCCTCAGGACGGCTTACATAAATAAAAAATTTGTAAATCAATGTATTTTTTGTATTTTTATATTTAATGGTAATTTATTATGTACTATTGTATTTCAATGTATTTTATCATGTTGTAAGCCGCCCCGAGGTTTCGGCAAGGGGCGGCATAGAAATGTAATAATAATAATAATAATAATAATAATAATAATAATAATAATAATAATAAAATTCCAGATCCACCCTGGCTGCAGATTAAAACAAATATAGCTAATATTAAAAGTTATTAAAATATTGCTGGAATAAAAAGGTCTTAGCCTGGCGCCGAGAAACAAATAATGATGGCACCAGGCGGACCGCTATGGGGAGTGCATTCCATGGGGGGGCGCCACCGCAGAGAAGGCCCTCCTTATATTGTACTGTGTATTGCTGACATTCTTATGATATTATGTATTGTATTATTTGATCTTGCATTGCTCACAGTTACATATTGTACTGCTTGTACGGAGTATGTATTTGCTTGTCCTGCTGCTGCAAGCCACCCGGAGAGCCCTGTGGGTTGTGGGGGCGGCACACAAATGCAGCGATGGTGACGGTGCCGTCAGGAGGTACGAACAGACCGTCCCCGTGATGACGCTCTGGGCTGCCACGGGGCTGGGCTGTCCAAAGTCCCTTCGGAGTTTGGACCTGTACGAAAGCGCTCAACCCGAACAAGGAGAATGACGGAAGAGGGAGGCTGAGGGGTAGAACACGCAGGAGGCCCCAGGTTCAACCCCCCGTTTCCAGCAGGGGAGGGAAAATACCTCTGCCCTGCCAGCCAGGCGTGCCTTCTGTGCTCTCAGACTCTGCGCTGCCCTGCACTGTGGGTGCCGAAGCTGCCGCCTCCGACCGGCTCAACTGGTTCGTAAACACACCAGGCGCTCAGTGCTTCCGTGCTGGGCCAGGATGCTCAAGATCCAGATCCCGGGAGGTCGGCTTGGCGTGGATTCAAACCACGCGAGGTCTTGGGGGCAGGGCGGCTTTGCAGAGCCGGCAGGGGAATGAGTGCCAGGAGATTCCTGGGAGGAAACAGCGCTGCAGACAAGGCACCCAGGGACAGAGTGACAGGAGCTGGCGCGGAGGAGGCAATGGGCCCGAGGGAAGGGTGGATGGAAAGGCAGCAACAGGACAGGGGGTGGGTATTCTGGTCAAAGGAAAGGAAATGACGGCCGCTCCTTCCAGTCGGGGTGCAGGACCGGTCTTGGGGCAGAACGGTGAGTGACTTCATGGGGAAAGAGCAGAGGAAGCACGTCCCTGGCAGGAATCCTGGACCTCAAAGCATCCCTGGATGCAACGCTGGGGGACGGCATCTGCGCCGGCCCGTAACCACCGGGGTCCCACTGGAGGGCTGAGCTGCAGCGCCACCGCTGTGGATGTGGGCAAACAAGCTGAAGCATGATCCAAGAGAGAATGATGGCCTGGTTAGCCCCTTTTGCCCCAGTTAGCTGCCCAGCCCCATGCAAGCACTAAAATAAGACAGTGGGGTTGGCTGGTCAGCTTTTGAGCCGGAACAAGAAAAGACGGCAAAAAGCAAGGTAAAAACAGAGGTAAGTAATTCTGACTCGTGAGAGATTATTAAGGGAAATGCTTTTCTCAGGCTTTAGAACACCATTTGATTCAAATTAGGGTGCTGGTAAATTACAACAGTTGTAAGTTGTCTTGCAACTTTTTTTTACCGATCAGAACTCACTCTTTTTTCCTGCGCCCATGGAAGAAGCTGGCCCACTCAAAGCAGGTCTTCTTGCTTCCAACCCAGAAGACAGATGGGATGCCCACTATAAGAGCCATCAAATACTTCATCAGAAAGAGGATCAAGTCTGGGCGGCTCATCTGGGTGACCTGGAAAGAGGAGGCGAGTACAGATAAGAAACAACGGGAGGCAAACCCATCTGCTAACGGGTTTAAAATAATTGCTTTAGGCCAAAGGCGAAGGGCATCTGTGTGCCTTGTTTTGCATCTCTTTGGCGAGATGACGCATCAGAGCCAGGATAAATCTAGGCAGACCCATCTTAAAACTGGGCAATTTAAATGATCACAGTCCCAAAGAGAAAGACTCAAAGATTCTCATGGACCATAAATTTATTTATTTATTTAAAGTTTTTTATATGCCATCCTCTTGCTACATAGCCTCGGGACGGCTCACAGAAATAAATAAATACAATATAAATAACAATTACAATTAAAACCTGGAAACACCCTGGCTGCACAATTAAAACCTATAAATATTAAACATTATTAAAATATCGTTTGAATAAAAAGGACTTGGCCTGGTGCCGAAAAGCAAATGACGGCGCCAGGCGGACCTCTCTGGGGAGCACATTCCACAGATGAGGCGCCACCACAGAGTAGGCCCTCCTCCGGGTACTTTGCCTCCTGATCTCTCTCACAAAAGGCTCCTGGAGGAGAGCCTCTGCTGCCGACCTCAAGGGGCGGGAGGGCAAATATGGACGGCATATATAAATATTTCCTAAAACATGCCGAAATGGCCCCGGAAACCAGGAGGCAACATTTGGCAAAGGAAGTTTGGGCAGGAGGCCTCGAGGGACCCTGTGGGTGGCCGCTTTGCCGCCATGGGGAGGGAGTGCTGGGCCGGACCGGTCACCGGCCTGATCCAGCAAGCCACCCAAGCGACGACTGCCGGCCATGTCAGTGCAGCGCTGCGCAGGCGGCCACGTGGAGGCAAGCCGCTCTGCTTAGGCCTGGCGCGGCAACCACCTGGTGCCCTGCAAACGCCCAGCAGCCGGCCCAAAAAGCTGCCCTTTCAGACCCCCCCACCCCCGCCGGGGACAGAAAGATCAGCCCTCCCCACACACTCCGGCCTCGCGACGGCTGGGTATCAAATCAGGCTTGAAAGGGGGCCTCTTGCTTGGTATCAAAGCAGGGCTTCTTCAGCTGTAACGCTGCAGAATTTGCAAGGGGGGAGGAGACGGGGCATATCCGCGTGCGTCACGCACGGACACGTGGGCATTCTGTGGGGTGGGGGCTGCCCCTCTTCTGCAGGGGATGCCATTCCCAGAGGGGTCCCAGGCCTCCGGCTCGGGTGGGATGTGAACACGTGCGAGCAGCAGCAAGGGGGGACCGACGGTCAAGAAGGCAGGCGTGCCGGCCGGGATCGCACCGATGACCAACCGCCTGCTCGGAAGGCCCTGGAGCGCCTTTTTAAATGCACGGCAGTCGTCCTCTGAGAGGAACCCCCCCAAAACAGCCTTCGACTCATGAATGATGTGAACCGAGCTGATGAACACAAGTGCGCCTTGCACCACAGGAGGGAGAGGGAGGCCGCCCTCTCATGGAACGTCTAAATGCCGTCTGCTAAACAAAAGGCAGCCAATTAGATTTGCTTCTGCCCATCCAGATTCCCTTCTGCAGCATATGGCACAATTCGCTACCTTTCCGATTTCACATTCCGGTTGCTTGTTGCTGGCAAGGGGAAGGGGATTGCTGTGGAGCAGGGGTGGGGAGAGCCTCTGTCTTTGCAAAATTCAGCTACGTGGTTTCTGAGAGGGCAAGCAGATGCAGGGGCAGTGGTTTGAACAGTGGCGACTCATGCAGCACCCCACCCAGCCCAGAATGATGGGAGTGGCAAGGAGGAAGGCGGCTTCCCCCGCAGCAGAGCTCCTGCGCCTCCGCCCTCGGTACAGTCCGTCAGGCCGCTCTTGCTGGAGCCGAGCCGGTGCCAGGCAGCGGTGAAGGGGCCGTTGTTCCTTCGCCTCTTCCGAGCAGCCTGCCTCTGCGCAGCCTTTGTGAGCTGCTAACGTATCAGGCATTGTTCTTGTGCACTAGCAGCCTTGGCCATTTCTCAGCAAATATCGGCCGCTCCCTCAGAGATGCCACCAATGAAGCTGTTGGAGCAACTGAAGCTGGGGGCATTTATCGTGTTGTCAGATGTCCTCAGCATCACGCATGGCCCAGAGGCAGAAAGGGGCGGCAAAGATCTCATGGAGACGCCACGCAGTGGCGGGCGAGAAAGGGATGGTTGACCCCGCTTGATTTGATGGGAAATAAAAGCTTTGCAAAAATGCGCAGGGCGTTGTGGTCTGTCTCCTCTCCCCTTGAGCAGACGTTGTGTGCGTGGGAAAGGGCAATCAGGCCATGTAGTGGCTGAAGAGCAGGAGAGACTGCGGAGAATCCATGGTTTCTCCAATTCCAAACTGCAGCTCCTTTCCCCAGACCCACTCTGATAATTTAAATAGCATAACTGACTACACCAGATGGTGAGTAGCTTCTACACCAATCATTTTTTATGCCTGAGGGAGAATTAAGGAACAAAACCCTGGCCCAGCTCCAGCACTTCCTCTGCTGGGACTGCTTCCAAAGAAAGACCAGGGGAAGCAGCAGTAAAACTTCAAAACAGGGTTGGAGATCCTGCCAGGAGCTGAATGTTAAGAACCTCCTCATCGGCAACAGCTTGGAAGGTTAATCTCGGTGCTCCCAAATGCAAAACAACAGCAGGGCTCTCGTTCAGCTGTGCTGCACAGTGTGAGGAAGAGTCCCTGAGGCCCTCTCCGGATCAGGTGGTGGGAACATCAACAACACGCCCGGCCAGGCCACAGTTCAGCCAGAAATCAGAGCTGCGCGACGTTTTTGCTTTCTTGCCTCCTCGGGTCGATGTGCTTAACTCAGGGGCACGGTCCGCGACAATTAGCAGATGGCACACCCTTGCCCTCGGAGGGGACAGCTTCCTTCCAGCCACTGCTTAGAGCTGCGCCCCGAAAGCTGGGGGTGAGCACAGCCTTTCTTGCAGAAAGGCACCGCGCAGTTCAAAAGACACGCCGCAGCCTGGCAGCGGAGCAGCTGGGACATTGTACAGGCTCAGGAGAGCTCCCTCTGGGTGGCCCTGCGAAGCCCCATGGCGTCCCCCTTGGCCCCCCAAGCACCGCTCTCCGTGCTTCTGCATTCGGGATATGGTCGAACAAAATCCTCCGCGAACCCCAATGAAGTCAAAGAGTGAAAATATTCTGAGCACCGCAGCTTTGCCTCTGGAATGCACTCAGCTCACAGCACCGTGATGCTACAGGGCGGTGCAGAAACGTACTGAATGAAGTCACCCGAGCAGTCATGTTGCGGCTCCTCCGTGCTCCAGGAAGAGGCCAGGCAGGCCAGGGGCCCAACCTCTGTCCAGTGCAGCCCCCCAGATCAAAGCATCCCTGACAGAGGGGTCTCCAGGAGCATCCTGACAGTCTTCAGGGCAGGACAGTCCATAACGCCTCCCCCACTGTCATTTTGCTCTGGCAGCACCTCGCGGCACCCCGATCCCTCATTTTTCAAAGCAGCCGCTCTGAGCCGAGAAGCAGATGCAGAGAATCGGCCTGCCACGTGGGAAACACCACAGAAGCCAGGCCGTGCGCCAGGCGTTCCTGGCGCAACGGCCAAGCTGCGACGCACACATCCGGGGCAAAGCCACAGAAGCGGGGGCCAGGGCAGCCCGCCAAGCGCCACCTGCTGGATGTGCCTCTGGCGTTCCACTCGCTCCCCCCGCCACCTTTCCGCAGGCAGAAAGCGCACTGAGCCATACTCGCTGATGCACCGCGCATGCACCCACCGCTCTGCTGCCACGCTGCCCAGGACGGCGTTTTGCCTCCATCAGCTGCACCGTGAGGCACGGCATGCCCGTGGCCACGCACGTGGGCTGCACAACCCAGTGGGGGCCTGAGGCCGGTGCCCCGATTCCAATCCAAAATACTGCTCCAAATTTTTTTTGCACAGAACCCAGTGTTACACTGGTAGTTCTTACAGCAAAGATGGGGGGCACAGAAGAGGTTGAGAAGGCCCTAGAAAGGCTGCCCATGAACCCCAGACTGGGGGTTAAAAAAGCAAGAGCTGCCCTGAGTGTAGAAACTTGTCTTCTAGCAATCTTTTCTGTTCTGACATCGAGACAAGCAGCTTGGCCGGTTTTCACATCTTTTCCTCTACACACCCTTTTAACGATCGAACTACATTTGTGGGTTTTATGTTCTTCCTATCAGGCTTACAGTAATACAATAAACACAATTCATCTGTTATTTTCAGCATATACCCACTGATGAAATTCTCAACTCCACCTTTGGTGAGCAGCTTTTCTGTATACGGAGAACATGCATAGCTGCATAAGCACATACACCATTAATTTTACTGAAAGAAATCTGATCTTTCCTGGTGTGAGCACATTTCAGAGTAATTGGAAAGATTTTAACCTAATTAAGCTGGAACAGAACAAAGGAGAAAGCAGAGATTCAAGTCACTCTGAAGAGAAACAGAACGAAGGGTGTGTGCACATGAGAGGCAGGGGACCTGTAAAGTCTGTTTTATCGTGCCAATCATACTTGCTGCTGAGTCTTTCGCATCTCAGACAAAGACATTAATAGCGCCGGTGACAGAAATAATGCGAAACGTGTGCAAGGGTGGCGTCAGGCCCATCGCTGTGTCGAAAGTCCATGCTTACAGGCACATGAGCGCACTGTCACCTTGCAGAGCACCCTGCCATCCTTTAAAATTTAGGGCAGTGCTAAAGAAGCGTGTGACGGCGAGGTCAAAGTAGGAGGCAAGACCAAATAATTAATGCAACGGGCAAAAGAAGCCGCCTTACGAGCACAGGTGCTCCTGAATTCTCCCACATGTCCATCAGCTCTCTCTGTTCCAGCGCTTGCAAGCCCAGACCTCTGATAAGCCAGAGATCCGGGTTCAGATGAACACTAAATAGCCCAGTGGTGAAGCATCCCAGGGTCGTTCAACGGGAGCGACTGGGCAACACGTGCCAGGACACGGCACGTTTCATTTACAAGCCAGAGTTTGGAAAAATGGTTGGGTTCTGGGTCATGTGACCTGGGCCTTCCTCTGCAGGACAATGGCGTACAGACACACAAGCACAGTCGCCATTAAAGGTAAGGGCTTCTCCCCATACCTTTTGGGGCAGGGCTTTCCGGAAAGCAGCAGCAAAGGCAAAGGGGGCACGTTGCCCAGATCAGCGACTGACGTGCCTCTCTGGTAACTCCCTCTGGCTTCAGCAGAGACAGGCACACTCGCACAGGACAGGACAGTCTGGCTGAGGTACTGGTTCCATAAGGCTCTGCTCCCAGAACTGGTTGGCTGGTTTAAAGCTTCTATATGTTTGAAACGCCCTGCTCTGAATTGGTTGGTTGGTTTAAAAGGGTATCACCTTTTTAGAAAGGACAGGAAGGGGAAGAGGGGTGGGGGGTGGCTTTATATGTCAGGGAAGAGATAGGATGCAGTGAGATAGAATGCAGCACAGATGGGGATTCGGCAGAGGCAGTCTGGGTGAAACTTAGGGGTTTTGACAGGGAAAGAGACCTGACAGTGGGGGTATGTTATTGCCCTCCAGGTCAACTTGAGACCCTGGATGATGTCCTGACAGGCCAGATTCTAAGGATATCTCAGGGGAGAGACACAGTAATTATGGGGGATTTCAATCTCCTGGATATTCGTTCGGAGACTCACTCAGCGGTGACAGCCAGGTCACGTCACTTCCTGGAAGCTACAGAGGGAGGGTTTTTCACACAGAGGGTCTGAGAGGCGGCGAGGGGGGGAAACATCCTTGACTTGGTCTTGACCAACAGGGAGGAGCTGATAGATGAAGTACAGATTAGGGGAGCTCTGGATGCGAGTGATCACTCCATCCTTTGCTTTGAGATCAGGGGACTGTGGACGTGCAGCAGGTCGAGCACTAGAAGCTGGGACTTCAAGAGGGCCAACTTCGGCCAACTGAAGGCCAGACTGGGGAAAGTCTCCTGGGACAGGTTACTGGAAGGTAAGCGAGTTGAGGAGGGGTGGATGGCACTCAAAAGGAAGGTTTTGGAGGCGCAAGCCTTGACGATACCTCTAGTCAGTAAGGTGGGGAGGCGGAGGAGAGTACCACCATGGATGCGAAAGGAGGTGGTTAGAGGGATTAGATGAAAGAGGAACCTCCGTAGGAAATGGGCTCTGGGGGAAATAGACAAAAGGGTATACCGGGAGGAGGAGGCCCGTTGCAGGAGGATTCTTCGCAAGGCTAAGGCTGATTACGAGCTGAGACTTGCCAAGAATATCAAGAGCAACAAAAAGGGCTTCTTTCAGCATGTAAATAGGAAGAGGAAGGGGAGACAAGTGGTGGGACCACTAAATGAGGAGGAAGGAGATCCAGTGACTGACATGAGGGAACAGGCACAGATGCTAAATGACTATTTTGCCTCTGTGTTCTCCCCAAAGCAGGACGGGGGAGATCTGCATAGGAGATTAGATGAGGCTGGGGACTTAGGGGCACAGATTAGTCACCCCCCTTGAAGTCGAGGGGCTCCTCAGGGCATTGGACATTACAAAGGCGCCAGGCCCTGACGGGTTACACCCGAGAGTACTTAAGAGAGTTGCCAGGGGTTCTCTCACGCCCGCTGGCCTCCATTTTTGAGGCCTTGTGTAGAACGGGTGAAGTGGACTGGAGGGTGGCATCAGTGGTCCCAATTTTCAAAAAGGGTAGTAGAAGGGACATGGGGAATTATAGACAGGTTAGCCTTATGTCCATTGTAGGAAAAACAATGGAAAGGCTCATAATAGAGAGAGATCTAGTGATGCTGGATAGGGAAGGGAGGCTGACAGCCACACAACACGGCTTCCGCAAAAACAGGTCCTGCCAGACAAACCTTGTGGAATTCTACGACAAGGTTTCGAGGTGGCTAGATGGAGATGCAGTGGATGATGGTTTACCTGGATTTCAGCAAGACCTTTGACAAAGTGCCCCATGATATCCTGGTGAAGAAACTGAGGAGTTTTGGGATACACCAAAGCACTGTCCGGTGGATTAGGGCATGGCTGACTGACTGAAAGCAGAAGGTAACCTTTAGCGGGGAATCATTGGGATGGTGGCCAGTGACAAGCGGGGTCCCCCAGGGCTCTGTCCTGGGGCCGATCCTGCTTAATCTTTTCATTAATGACATGGAAGAAGGGGTTCCATGGCCCGGGAGGCCCCTTCTGACTCACTCTGTTTCTATATCCCACCCTTCACAGTATCTCAGGCTAGTCATAACAGGAATCACAGGCGGGGTGCTGCAGCAAAATGTTAAAGCATGAAGTCCTTCTGTTTCCGGTCCTGGCGGCTCCATTCCATTTCTCCTCCCCGCTGGGTCATTTACTCCCCCGGCCTCACTAAGCAGACTGAGTTTTCATTGGGCTGCCTTTTTCCCTTTTTCATGTTTGGAAAGGAGCAGACATGGTGGTGACTCATCCCAGCTATATTAAAATCTTGTATTTGCATAATTTCTATGGTAGCTCTCACAGCCATCTCTGGAGATAGTTAAGAGCTGCTCGTATGAACCAGGAAGTAACCTACATGAGACAGTTCATTTTACCCTTTCTTTCTACTCAGGTCTCTCCTTCCCCCTTTCCTGCCACTCCGTTCGATTCTCTTTCACACCCCATTCCACATTTTCCCACCGTCAGTCAGCATTACATGATAGCAGGTATTATGCAACTGTTTGCAGAGAATATCTTTCCTAAGATTGGTTTCTGTGCACATGGGCAAACCACAGGATTACCCTGAGAAGTCTCTCGTTCGTGTGTGGTACATTTTTAGCGCCAACTCCTTGAGGGTAAGATTCAAATCTGAAGCAGAAGGGATTAGTAATTGCTTGATTTATATCCCACCTTTTTTCTTTTGTAAAGAATTCAAACTGGCTACATCATTCTCCTCCACCTGCTCTCCATCTTATCCCTCAACAACAACCCTGTAAGGTAGGCTGGGCCGAGAGTCTCTGCCTGGCCCAAAGTCACCCTGTGGGCTCCATGGCTGAGTGGTGACTCGAACCCAGATCGTCTGACTCCCAGTCCCATGCTCCAAACACTACACCCCACTGGCTCTCAGTAGGATGCGGGAATCTGAAGAACCGCTACATGAATCTGCTTGTTTTCCTTCTCCTTCTCCATCCCCTGCTCCTTTTGGGCCATGGCTTGCCAACTTTAAGCCCATAAAGACAGGTATTGCCTTGCTTTTAAAAAATGTCTACCATGTTTAATAAACTTTTGGTACTTTATAAGATCATCATCATGCATACACACTCATCCAGAGGTAAAAAGATGCTGAATATTCCTATTCACCTTTCAAAGCTCACATTCTCTACATGAGATTTATTTTTTCTCCTGCCTTTATTTTCTGAGTCAAACTTCCCAGTTGCCCAAATGATTGTATCCATGTAGTATTTTTCTACATATTAAATACCCTGCAGGAGGGTTGTGCCAAGTTTTTTTTGGGGGGAGGAATCTAGTGTTTCCAGTTGGGGGGGATGCACGGACCAAGTCCAGCTGCTTTAAAAGGTGTGCTCACTCACCTGATAAGGGCAGGGGATGTGATATTCTTTGCACCTTTCCTGGATCCATGTTGTTTCCCACACACCTCGATAAGCCTGCTCATAAAAATAGCAGCCGATCACCACCAAGAGGGGCACAAGGTAGAGGACGCTGAAGACGCCGATCCGAATCATGAACTTCACCAGCTTGTCCTGATTCTCCTTCTCTAAAGGGATTTCAATCCGGACCCGATTCAAGGAGATGATGCCGGCAAGGAGCAGAGAAACGCCAACCACCACGTATAAGCAGAGGGGAGCGAGGACAAAGTATCTCAAGGCATCCACATCATAGAGGCCGACGAAGCACACGCCGCTGATGTTGTCCCCTTCAATTTTGTTCATGGCGAGCAGGACGATGGTCAGGGTTCCCGGGATGCCCCACGCGCTGGCATGGAACAGCAGAGCCTTCTTCTCAATGGCCTCGCTGCCCCACTTGGGGACAGCTGCCAAGAACCAAGTGATGGTGAGGATCACCCACCACACGCTCCCGGCCATGGTGAAGAAATAGAGCACCATGAAGAGCATGGTGCAGGCTTTGTTGTGAGAGCCCTGCGTCACGGTGGAGGCCTTGTACGTGGTGGGGCTGGAGGCGTTGCAGGCAACCCGGTCCTCCAGTAAGAAGCCGATGAAGAAAATGAGGGACACCATCATGTAGCAGACGGCGTAAAAGATGATGGGCCTTTCTGGGTAGCGAAACCTCGTGACGTCGATCAGGAAAGTCAAGAAAGTGAACAAGGTGGCCGAAAGGCAGACGATGGAGATCACGCCAATGAAGTACCGTGCGAAAGAGAGCTCCTCGCGCCTGAAATACATATTTGGGCAAGGAGGGGAGCAGTCCCGTACCCGCAGGAAGGTGTAGCCCAGATCGGGGTCTATTTTCAGCTCTCGGGGGCACCAGAAGCCATAGTCTCTCTGCACGGCCACCGGCGCCTCTTCCGTTGGTTCTCCAACAACATTGAGATCGACAAGACGAGGGTACGGCTCATCGCAGTCGGGGAACCTGGAACAACAAGAGCAGGGAACGGGGTCGGTCGGCGCTCACACTCTGTTGCTGGCTGCTAAGAAAGCAGGAGGCCTCCTTGGCCTCGATTCCTAAATAGCAGGAGCCTGGAAGGGCCATGAAATGCCAGGCAGTGATAAGGAGGAGGTGTCATTATGTCCCAAAGACAGGATCTTGTCTACAAGACGGAGCACACTCTGTTGTCTCAGAATTTCAAACCTCCATCAAGCAGCAATGGAATTGGCAAGCTGCAAATTATCAGAGTCCTGCAGCCTCTGGCTGCTTATTTCAAGGTAGTATGTGAGCTTTAGTCATCCTTTTCCCATTTCATTTCTTTTATTTCTATACTGCTCAAAACCAAAGTTTTCTGGTAGTTCCCAACATATTTATTTAACTTAATATTTATATACAGCCCCATTCCCATAAGCTCTAGGTGGTTAATATTAAAACTTGAATATATACACATTTAACACACTGAAAAAATGTATATCAATTAACAATAGAACTACCACAACTGATTTAAAAAACCCACCCAGCATTAAAAATTCCCATCCTATGGCCATTAAATGTCCAGCAGAGGAAAACTGTAGTATGAGACCAAAAAGCTGATAATGCAGACATCACTGAGAACGTTCCACAATTGAGGAATCGCTACAGAGAAGACCCTCTTCGTGGCAGCCATCCTTCCAACCCCCCTCAGAGGAGGCACTCGGAGCAATGTCTCAGATGCTGCGGCAGGCGTTAATTCTCAGCCATTTTGACCTCTCCTCTTTACCCAATTCTCTCCGCTAATTTTCACAGGCCATATGGCCCGGCCCTCTGCCCCGTGAATTGTAGTAGTTTGGACGCCAGTCACAAAACTGAGTTTTGGACTGCAGACAGAGACTGAAACTTTGTATTTTACAGTCAAAAGAATCGGCAGAACCAACTGAGCAGCTTTGCACTTATCTAGTGGGTTAAGAAGCAAGTCCCTCGTGGGAAACTAGAGATGTGCTAAAGACAAATGGCAGCGGCAACTTGGGTTCAGTGCCAAGCAGAGCGGAAGACTGGCTCCCCGGTTCTCTGCAGGATTATTAAGGCCAACGTTCTTGAGCTTTTGAACACAAACCATGAAGTTTCTCCTAGTTTACTCAAATGAGGAAAGAAAAAGGGAGATGATGTTTGAGTGATTACAAGAAAAGCTAAGCCGTCCTTGTAGCTGAGTGATTACCCTCATTATTAAAAGCTTATAATGACTTTCTAGTCTGTCTGTCTCAACCGGCCTGGGTATGTTTTGTTTGCGTGGCTTATGTCTCATGAATCCTTCACTTGGCATATTTTTCTTTCTGACTGAAGGCACAAAAGACTCAAGATTACTTAATGCAAAGAAAATTCCAGAGTGAGAGCAAGGATAGTCTCTTGCAGCAAAAACAACAAAGTCTTGTGGCACCTTAAAGACTAACAATTTCATTTTGGCATGCCATAAAGATATGTTAGACTTTAACGTGACACTTGACTCTTGCTTTTAATGGCATTTTCAAACATGCACACAAACATGCTGCACAATCGGCTAAAAGAACAACTGTCTTACTATTTAGCACTTAACAAAGCTGGCTTCCTTCCCCAAAATAAGATTTGGGGAAGGGGGAGAATAAAAGGGTACATGCAACTCCAACTTGACTTGAAACTGGACTTTCCAGAGTTTGACAAGACTCAGATGCGATGGTCTGCACCTCCCTGGAATTAACCCAGGCAAAACAAGAGTCGCCAAGTACGCCTTTGCTGTCGCTTTGCTCCACGGTGTGCTCGAGTCTCTCCGCAAGTAAACGTGACGGGCGCCAGGAACTGGCTGAGCCCAGCCTTCCTCATCCTGTCACTCTGCCAGACGCTCTGGGTGCACCTCACAGGATTCCTGACCATTCGCCACCAGCCTGCTAGGGCTAATGGGAGCTGAAATCCAAATCATCTGGAAGGTACCAGGTTGGGGAAACCTGTATTTTTCAAACTCGCCAAATACAAGAGCATAGGAAAAGAGCTTCTTGAATAAAAGTTAGTGTGGCGTCGTGGTGAAGAGCGTGGGACTGGGACTCAGGCGACCCAGGTTCGAGTCCCCGCTCAGCCACGGAGCCAGCTGGGTGACTTTGGGCCAGTCACAGACTCTCAGCCCAACCTACCTCACAGGGTTGTTGTTGTGGGGATAAGACGGAGGAGGAGAAAGATGTAGGCTGCCTTGAGCCCTTTGTCGGAAAACGGCAGGGTATACATCGAAAAATAAATTAATTAATTAATAAAAGTTAAAGCACTTTTGCTGGCGAGGGGGTCCAGCTCGGTCTGAGCCATTGGCACAGGTCATATGCCATACTGGGAATTCCCCAGTTGCTTAATCCTGGAACTGCAGGGATGAGTGAAACAACTCGTGTGCTAACTCTGGGTTGTTTAACATAAAGAGCCCAGAGTCTCTGGGTCTGCGCATGATGAAACCAATGGAGGAACAGGGTGACTCTGAGTTGTTAACTGAGAAGGAAAACAAGAAGTGTGGGCTCATGGACCGACTCCGTCTCTGCATTTTTGGAGTCAACACTCCAGGAACTTCCTGCATGACACAGTCTGTGCGGCAGAGCCGCCTCTCTCCCAGTCACCTGCAAGATCTCAGCAAGGCAGGCCTGCATCTCATTCTAGGAAGACTAGACTGAAGGACAAATCTGAAACTCCCAAAATGTCAGAGGAAACTACAAGATCGACTGTCTAGAACGACAGCAACATCGAGTCTCAGAATCTCAAAGATGAAGGGGGGCTTGAGTTGGTTTCATCCATGAAAGTCTGTTAGTTCAACCTAAGGCTGAAAAGCTTAAGTCATTTGATACATCCCAGGACATGGTAAAATTCTGGGTTAGAAGGAAACCCCCCACAAAAAGCCAGAGAATTTGCTTACCTGCTGCATTCCATGTCCTCTGGCCAAGACACACCAAACATCTCCATGAGTTTTGAACACTCATTATATGCCCGCTGACAAATTCTGCGACATGGGAGGGTGACTCTGCCATACTCCATGCAAACAGGCGCATAGAGAGCGCACAGGAATGGTCGAAAATCCCGGGAGCAATCAAGGTTCACCATTGGGTGGAATGGCTAGAAAGAGAAAACAAGATTAAGCTGCCCCAGGCCTCCGTCCAAGCAGCAAGTTAGATTCTGTCTTGGCGATCTGGGTGGTTGCCATAATTTAAGATCTCACGATCTCTACCCAGCTTCAGAAGAAACACAGATAAATAATACAGATAATTCAGGCAGCATACCACACAGAACGCCAACACAAATACTTGCTCAGTGCCATCACAAGTGGCTGTTGCGTTGATTCATTTGGCTTGATTTAATGCAGCATTTGAGGGCTGCTCGTGCCAATAGCAAGCAAAGGGTGTGTATGCCTGGGATTCATGGGTTAATTAACCCACCACTTGTCACTTTGTCCAAACAGGACCAACGAATGCAGCTCTAAAACCCCACCTGAGAGAGAAACTCTGCAGGTTATCCTCTTGCAACCATGGAACAACACCAAGGGTTGTCCCGCCTAACTTTCACAAAACACCACTTAGGCGCTTTTCTTAGATCCTTATGTTCTCTACAGGTAAGTGCTGAGGTGGACTCTGTGATCATAATCCGTGTTGATACCAGTGATGGTGGTGAGTGCAATTGTGAGGTCCTGGAAGCCAAATTTAGGATGTTATGTGGAAGAGAGAAATCCAGGACCACCAAGGCACTCTTGGAACTGCTCCCTGTATGATGTGCAGGACTGGCTAGACAGGCCAACTGGTGGAGTCTCAGTGGGTAGATGAGAAGGTGGTGTGTGAAGGAGGTTTCAGATTTGTTAGACACTGGGGAATATTTTGGGACAAGCTGGACCTGTACGAGAGGGATGGGCTCCTCATGAACCAAAACAGAACCCAACTGCTGCCATGAAAAAGGCGGCAGAACCACTTTGAAACTGAAATCGGAAGGAAAGCTGACAGAAGCCAGGAGGCATCCACTTTGGGTGAAACCATCCCCAGAGGATGAAGATGAAACAAGTTTCCTACTGCCAAATGTGTAGAAGGGAGGAAGAAGACTATGAGCATGTGGTAAAACAGCTATGCTATTTATGCTAAGCTGTGTCCAACCCATTGCGACCCCATGGACAACACTCCTCCAGGCCCCCCTGTCCTCCACCATCCCCCGGAGTCCACCCAAGCCCACACCGACTGCTTCAGTGACTCCATCCAGCCTCCTCATCCTCTGCCGTCCCCTTCTTCTTTTGCCCTCAATCGTTCCCAGCATCAAGCTCTTCTCCAGGGAGTCCTTCCTTCTCATCAGGTGGCCAAAGTATTTGAGTTTCATCTTCACTATCTGGCCTTCTAAAGCGCAGTCAGGGTTGATCTCCTCTAGGACTGACCAGTTTGATCGCCTTGCAGTCGAAGGGACTCACAGAGTCTCCTCCAGCACCACAATTCAAAGGCCTCAATCCTTCAGTGCTCAGCCTTCCTTATGGTCCAGCTCTCACAGCCATGCACTGCAACTGGGAAAACCATAGCCTTGACTATACGCACTTTTGTCGGCAGGGTGATGTCTCTGCTTTTTAGTATGCTTTCTAGATTTGCCAAAGCTTTCTTCCCCAGGAGCAAGCGTCTTTTAATTTCTTGGCTGCAGTCCCTGACAGTGGTGATCTTGGAGCACAGGAAAATAAAACCTGTCACTACATCCATTTCTTCCTCATCTATTTGCCAGGAAGCAATAGAACCGGATGTCATGATCTTAGTTTTCTTAATGTTGAGTTACAAGCCAACTTTTGCACTCTCCTCCTTCACCCGCATCAAGAGGCTCTTTAGTTCCTCTTCACTTTCTGCCATCAGAGTGGTAGCATCTGCATATCTGAGGTTGTTATTTTTCCCAGCAATCCTGTTCTGACTTGTGATTCATCTAGCCTGGCCTTTCACATGATGTGCTCTGCCTTCTTCTGCCTCTCTTAGGTCCCTGCCATTTTGGTCCTTTATCTACTTATATCTCCCATTTTCTTGAAGAGATCTCTGGTCCTCCCTAGTCTATTGTTTTCTTCTATTTCTTTGCACTGTTCATTTAAGAAGGATTTCTTATCTCTTCTAGCTATTCTCTGGAATTCTGCATTCAATTGGGTGTATCTTTCTCTTTCTCCCTTGCCTTTCACTCCCCTTCTTTCCTCAGCTATATGTAAAGCTTCCTCAGACAGCCAATTTGCTTTCTTGCATTTCTTTTTCTTTGGGATGTTTTTAGTTGCTGCCTCTTGTACAATGTTGCGAACCTCCGTCCATAGTTCTTCAGGCACTCTGTCTATCAGATCTAATTCCTTAAATCTATTTGTCACCTCTACTGTATATTCATAAGGAATATGATTCAGGTCCTACCTGAGTGGCCTAGTAATTTTCCCTATTTTCTTCATTTTAAGCCTAAATTTTGCAACCAGAAGCTCATGATCTGAGCCACAATCGGCCCCTGGTCTAGTTTTGACTGACTGTATGGAGCTTCTCCATCTGTGGCTGCAGAGCACATAGTCAGTCTGATCTCAGTACAGTCAATTAAAGAGGCCTTAATGTCGAAGCTGAAGAGGCACACACCAGAGACACCTTGTGCTGCACAGAAGTACAGTGAACACGGAGTGTCCCGGAAGCTGTGGCAGATGAGCAGCTTTCCTTCAGAAAACGAATTGTCTGCCCAAATGTGGAAAACAAAAGAGAGCACAGGCTTGCACAACGGAGAAGCAGGCAGATAATGAGAAGAAAGCATATCGCCAGCAAGATCAACATCAAAGAATTCTTTAAAGATACCAGAAGCAAGGAAGCGGACCACTGGGTGATAAGGGAGTAAAACAGGACTAAAGGAGGAGCAGGAGATTGTGAATAGGTTGAGGATCTGTACTCAGTGCAGAAGATCCATGACAGAAACCTGCGCCAGAACTGAAGCTTTCAGGAAGGCAGTCTGAGGAGCTAAGGCAAATATTATTATTATTACATTTTTATACTGGTGACAAAATATAAAATGCCCAATCTTGTCAGTCTTGCTGTCTAGCTTCAAGTTACTAAATCACCAGGCCCGGGTGGCATCTACTGTGGAGCTCTTAAAGCACTCAACAACGAAACTGCTGGTGTTCTATCAAAAGCATGTCACATGTCCCCAAAATCAGCTTCTATACCAAAGGACTGGAGAATGGCTAGTGTACCACCGAATTTTAAAAAGGGATTCAATGGGTATTCTGGAAATTACAGGCTGGTTCCCATAATGTCTGTTCTGAGTAAACTGGCTGACAGTGTTGTTAAAGATAAACTTAGTAAGCAGACAGAGAATTCTTTGACCATGTTATGAAACATGTGGCCAGAGTTCATCGGGTAGCTATTGTTTACTTGGATCTCTAAGAGGCTTTGGACAATATCCCCCACCAAAGACCCCTGAACAAATGTAGCAGTCTTGGAATAAGAGGGGAAAGCCTCTTATGGATGAGGAACTAGTTAAAGAACTAAAGGCAGAGAGTAGGAATAAATGGCAGTTTCTCCCACTGCAGAAATGCAAACTGTGGGGTCACAGAGGGACCTGCACTGGGACTAATGCTTTTCAACTAATTGCTAAATGATCGCAAATTAGCGATGCGCAGTGACATGGCCAACTCTGCTGACAATACAAAATTATTTAGGGTGGTTAGAACAGGACAGGATTGTGAGAATCTCCAAAAGAATCTTTTTGAGGTGGAAGAATGGGCATCAAAATGGCAAATGCAGCTCAGCGTAAGCAAATTTAAATTAATGTACACTGCAGCAAAGAATCCCAAATTCAAGTATGAACCAGGGATCTGAGCTAGCGATGACTGACCAAGAAGGAGAGCTTAAGGTTGTGGTGGGCAGCTTGAAGAAAATGCCAGCCCAGCATTCAGAGCTGTGGAAAAAAGGCAAATTCTGTGCTAGCAAAACTGAAGGCAAGTAATATGTTAGGAAAGAACTGAAAATAATACTGCCAAAATTATCTTCATGATGAACCCACGCTTAGAATAATATGTACAGCTTTTGTCATCGCACCTGGAAAATTATGTTTTAGAGTTGGATTAAGGGCAGAAAGGGGCTACTAAAAGATCAAGGGACTGGAACAACGGCCCCATAATAACTTACAGCATCTGAAATTGCTTAACAAAGAGAAAGGGTGAAAACAGAAGACATGACAGAGGTGAACAGAATTATTCCTGGGGTGGAAAAACCGATAGGAAGGTGTCTCTTCTCACTCACATAACATTAGACTCCAAAGGGGTCATCCCATGAAGCTGCTTGGTGGGCAATTCAGGGCAAGTGAAAGCAGACACTTCTTCACACCGCACAGAGTTACACTACGGAACTCACTTCCACAAGACATAGTCACGGCGACCAATCTGGACCGAGTTAATAGGGGACCGGACCAATCCATGGAGAGGGCTACCAATGGCTACCCACCCTGGCATCCATGTTTCAGCTCCGGCACCAGAGAGGCAGTGGGCTGTGCACGCCACTTGCCGGGGAACACGGGCAGGAGGGGTGCATGTCCCGCTCCAGGGTTCGCAGGGGCAGCTGATAGGCCGCTGTGTGAACAGAATGCGGGACTGCGTGGGCGCTTGAGGTAATCGGGCATGGCTCTTGTGCTTTCATGCGTACCGTAAGAACACTCCAAGAAACTTGCATCAAATGTGTTTGGTTCCTATTCTGCACAGGCAAGAGACTCTACCCCAACCAAACAAGCTACCGGATTTTCCTTCAGACCAGATTTCCCTAAGCTGCAGTGCCATCAATTTTTCAGGCAGGAAAAATTGCCCCGTCCTCATCTGCTTCCAGCCCTTCCTGCTTCTTTTGATTCAGCTGCTTCAGGAACTACTTGATGACTTCCCTTCTGGCCCACTGTATGAAACAGAAGCACAGCATGTATTATGCATAACTTGATTTACTTTTAAAATCATCATATTCAATAATTGAGAAGTTTAGTTTTTTTCAGAGAATAATTATAAACTTACTGAATGTATTTTAAGTGTTTTAATTTTAATGATACTTTGATGAGCAAACCAAGTTATACATAATTCATTCTAGATTCTGAAAGGGACAAACTGTCGGTAGGTCTCT